CCCTCCGCAATTCGGGGCTCCTTTCTCCTGGTTTCCTCTCCCGCTTCCACCCCCTGCTGCGGCCGACATCCGCTCCCCATTGAATTGAAGTTCACATCCTTTGAGGTGCACGCCCCCTCGGCCCAGGGATTTTCTTCCTTTTAAATTAAATTTTGCAGCGAAATAACGGGATCGGGGGAGGGGAGCGTGGCGAAGCATTTGCTGCCCTTTTGTGTGTGTGTGTCTGTGTGTGTGTGTGATATTTGTGGTTTTTAAAATGGAGACCTTTTAAAGAAAGGGAGTATTGAGATTTGGAACATCACATTTTTTCAGTTAAACGGTACAAACTTGGTCTTCCCATTTCCCGGAAATACTGATCACCCTTTGAGAGCGGGGTTTTAAGAAGCCTCTACCGCGAGGACCCTGGTTACTAAATTGGATTAATCCAGACCCTGCCTTTGTTCTCACAAATTCCCTTAATTGTTTAGAGTTGTTAGAATTTTTTGAAAGAGGTTTTATCACAAAATGAGACTATTTCACAAATAATCACTCTAATCCCCCCCAATCAAATATTTTTGGTACCCTTGTGTAATTTACATTTTTCTGTCCTGACTTTAAGTAGGAAAGTAAGCAATAGTGATTATTCTAGCGTCTAGAACAATTTCCCCTTTATGTCATTTGACATTTTTAAGGAGTTATATGTATTTGTGACATTATCAACCGTTTAACCTGTCACTAAAATTTTGGGGTGAAAATAAGTGTTAGGCATTATTCAGAGTACTAGAGTTGATTTGAAACTGTAAAAAAAAAAAAAATCTGTAATACCGACATACAGCCTAATGCCGCTGTACCTTTTGTGAAAAATGAAGGATGTGGGTAAACAATAGAGATTAATTGTGATCAGGCACCCTTAAATGTCTCTTTTCCTGTTGCTGGTGTAAAACCGTAATGGACTTTATTATAAACTCCATTTTTGTCTTCTGAAATCTCGGGTTATAGCCTTCCTTTATCAAAAAGATACACTGCCAGTATGCATCTTTTTAGTATATTCTTTTTATTTTTTTAATCCTCACCAGAGGATATTTTTCCATTGCTTTTTCAGAGAGAGTGGAAGGGGGGGAGAGAGAAACATTGATTGGTTGCCTCCTGCAGGAGCCCCAACCGGGGCATGGAGCCTGCAACCGAGTTAATTGAGATATTACAAAAAGATAACTATTTCTCTTTTTAAGGAAGTGAACATAAAAATTTGAGGTCTTTTTATGATGTTTTAGGTCTGAAGATTTACGACGCGAATTTGGTCGTTATGGGCCTATAGTTGATGTGTATGTTCCACTTGATTTCTACACTCGCCGTCCAAGAGGATTTGCTTATGTTCAATATCCTTTCTTCAGATGGCTGATTAGTGAGGGGTGTTGAAGTTTGAAATTCAAGTTTATGTAAGAGGTAACATCTAAAAAGTAGTTTACTTTTGTCCTTTAATGAATGTCGTATGTCTTCAAATTTTTGAAAATTCTAACACACATTGCTCTATTTCTTAAAGTTAATCCAAAAATAGATACTTAAATTCCCATTTATGGTGCTGAAACTCAAATCAATAATTATAATATGTGATTTAAATTAGAATACACTTTGGTTTCTACCACCTTTAATGTAAGTCAAATTAAAAGTTAATATGTTCTTGTGCTTAGCAATTAAAGTTTCGTGTTCTTGTTTGTTAATTTGAATCACTTGATCAAAACAAATTGTATAACAATGAGGTAAACTTCTTTAATATTGTCCCCTAATTTGCTGTCCTCTGTTGTTACCTCAGAGAATGTAAAGCTGTACAGTTATGGCGACCCCAAAGAGAAAGCATGAAAGAACCTTTAGAGTAGAGTTCAACACTTAAGGCAAGTAGACAAGCCAAAGACCTCTTAAGGATCAGGCTTGAAGAGAAGGGAGAGTTTGGGAAAAGAAAAAATACAGAAAAGCTGGAAGAAGGACAAGCCTAATGGGAGACAAAGCCTCGCTTTATCTACAAAAGGGGGAAAAGGTTGTTTTTCAAAGTTAAAGATAAAGCCATCTGTCATATTTGGCCAAGCATCTCATGACAAGTCCTTCTGACAAGCACTTAAAGAGTTAAAGGTCAAGATGAAGTTGAATGATGGCCAAGATTAAAGGAGTCATACCTGATGTATCCTACAGAATAACTATTTTCCTTTTTTTTTTTTTTTAATGTTTTGTAAGCAGTTAATTTTCAAAATATTTCTGGTTTGGTCTAGTGACAAAACCTGTAACTTGATTTTATGTGGGCCTTTGATGTTGTGATTGTGGTCTTGTATAAATGCACTTTCTTAGCTTCTCAAGTTAAAGTTTCCTAGGATATAATGTTGTTAAGCTTAAATTTAGCATATCTCTGTTTTGGAGCAGATGGTCAGGTGCCATAGGGTGGCAGGCAGTGCCCTTTAGAGTAGCATGAGGTTCTGTGGTCAAGCTGACTCCACAGAGCCATGCTGGAAGGGGAGACAGATGCATGCACTGGGAACTATTTAGATAAACAGTTTTGGTGTCTTGTAGGGTCAGATCTAGAGAAACTACCTGTTTATAGATAGATTTTAAAGTGGCTTGGGGGCACACACCTTCCTAACTTACAGAATTTAGGCCTGGGCCTACCGGCCATGCACTGCTTTAACACACATGATCAGTTGGCCCTGAATGGATGGGAGAAGGCCTTATCCCTAGTATGGGTACCTATTGGAAACCATTCCCTGGCCCACCATTTCATGGTGACATTTCCTTCGCTGAGATCATCTCCCTGCAACAACAAAGGTTTGGGCTGTGGACTTCAGGCTAGGGAATTTCTTATTGCTTAAGTTCAATGAGTCTCTTGAAACTTAGTGGAATCCTAGTCAGACTTAGCAAATGCTGAAAGCTGCTACTCCCACAGGGCCAGTGGGACTGTTGTGGGAATTTGTTGCAAGCTGGTTACAAAGGATAAGAGAGAGATCTGGCTTGTTTGTTTTGTGTTGTTTTGTTTTTTAAGTAATTGCATTCTGGCTTACAGTGTTGACCTGGTTTACCTGGTTTTAGGGTAGCCTGTGAACCAGGATCAGTAGTAGTTTGACTCAAGAGTATGTGATACTTGAGCCAGAAAAGATTTGTCATCTAAAGGGGAAACTAAAGGAAAAGTATGCATTTTTTTATACAGGTAGTTTTTTCTATGGTCTTAAAATAATTTTTTTACGAAGGCTGTGAGTACAAATTTCTCCAATGATACTTGGCTGCCCCTGCTGTGGCTGTTTGCTTTCTCTTAACAGGTAAAGTAGAACCTTGCTATTCATCCAACCCAGGATTCTGGTTTTGAGGGTAGCAAAAAGATGATTTGTAATAATTTTTACACCTCTTTATCTAAATCCTTTTAAAGGTTATTATTACATTCTTTTTCTTGAGGTAACAAATAAATTAGTATACCTATTAAGTGAACTTAATCCTTTTAATTATTTTAGACCCCAACTGCATTAACCTTGAGGGCTGATCTATTAAGTATTAAACTCCCCATCAGCCTTTGTCTTGTCATATTGAAAGGCATATGATTTAGCACTTGAGAAAGCCTCTCCCTCTACATTAACTTACAGATAGTAATGCCCTCAGGAAAAGGGAGCTGGGAACCCACTGTGGTCCTTAATTTCTTTCAGAACAAAAAAGGAAATCTAGTGAGGCCAACCTTTTAGTTTCTGGAATAAAAGAGTATTAGTGTCAGTCTTGAAGGGAGAAGGGAATATGTCACTTGAGGTGGTTTTTAAATCAGCTCTCAAGATCTGTGAAATTTAAGAAATAGAAAAATAGGCATGTTTGAATAGTGACTTAGGATAGAATGAAAATCTATAGCCAAACCTAACCTAGCTCCCTTTCCAAAGCTTTTACCTCAAGCACTGCTCTGAATATGTGCTTGGCTTCCATTAGAATGGTGGTTTTAGGAAAGAAGCTAAATTTGGACAGAATAATTTGTAAAGCCAAGAGTTTGTGTGGTATTATTGCTGACAAGTAGAGACAACAAAGCAACTTAGCCTGAGATCAAAAACGGACTGAGAGTTCCTGCTTTATGCTGATAGATAATATCTTGAAATTCTCAGGTTAAAGGCAGCCCCAAACTCCTTTGTTGGATGCTGTGTTTAGTATTATTGATGTTAGGGCTTTCCAGCCCAAGAATCTTTAGAAATGGTCTGTTATTTCTTGAGAGCTTGCTTGTCTTGCATGGCTATAATATACTTTGAGTACAGTGATGTCTTGAGTATTGCTTGATTCTGTTTTGATATCCACAAGTGGCTAGTTACCAGTCTTCCCTGTGTGATATAAGGAAGACAACTATATTAAGTAATAGTATTAGATATGTCTGAGAAAAACAGTAAAATTTAAGGTTAATGCATTCATCTCTTGTAAGGCATATTCTGCTTGCTTACACAAGAACTACTGGCATTTTCTTTTTTTCATGTGAAATAAAAATAGGGAAAATAGTCTTGGTTTTTAAGAGATTTTTGTTTTAACATACAACATAGAACTGACACTTGTTTTTCTTTTTGTCTTGTTTTATGAAGTTAATTCTTAAAACAGGAAAAGTTTTTGATAGGATTACTTGGTAGTTCAGCTATAACATCTTATTTCAATAATAACTTTACAATATTCACGTGTATTCAAACATATACCTTGGGAATTCACAAGTGCTTTAATACTATGAAGCATTTACAGCTGAATCAGCCAGCTAGTAAGGGGTCTGGTAGATTTTCTAGAGTAATAATGAGAGAGTAATATTGTGAATTGTTCAAAATTTACCAATTGAACTTTCATTCATTATCAAAGTTTGCAAAACTTCCCAAGCCCCTTAACATTTAGCACATTTGAAGATGTTCGTGATGCCGAAGATGCTTTACATAATTTGGACAGAAAATGGATTTGTGGTCGCCAAATTGAAATACAGTTTGCACAGGGGGATCGGAAGAGTAAGTACTCTTGTGCCTACTATGTGTATAATACATAATTTGAAAAGATAGAGTATCTTTGATACTTTGTTTCATCATATTTTTAGATATATTTCAAAGTTTTGGGTAGACATAAAGTAATGTGGAGATCAGAATGCCTGACTTAGACTCTTAAGAAGTGCATTGATGCTCTCAACTGTGGCATGTTTAATATACTGGGGGTAGAATTGAAAGGGATAAAATTCGGAAAGTTTTGGGTCTCTAGAGCCATTTTCCTCCTCATGAAGCTCTTCAGAGTATAATTGGATGATTAAGTGAGTGTGTGACTATGAGTTAGACTGAAAAGGCTATATAGATTAAACCTGGAATCAATTTTGTATTGGTGGCTTTTATAGTATGCAGGAGTACACTAGGTGTTAACTGTGTGCTAATGAGGCAGGAATATAGGTTTTTGAAGTCAAATAGACCTGAGTTTGAATTTTGCCTCAACCCTATGTTATCTTAGACAAGATACTAAAAGACAGCAATTAAAATAGCTGCTGAAGCCCAGCTCGAGTGGCTCAGCGGTTGAGCATTGACCTAGGATCCAGGAAATCGAAATTTGATTCCCAGTCAGGTCACATGCCCGGGTTTCAGGCTTGGCCCCCAGTGGGGGGCATGCAGGAGGCAGCCAAGTCAATGACTCTCATCATTGATATTTCTATCTATCCTTCTCCTTTTCTCTCTCTGAAATCAATAAAAATACATATTTTTTAAAAGGCTGCTGAAGAGAGGAGTACTTAGGAAGACATAAGCTATTGGTAATTCTCTAGGTCTTGGGTTGGGTGATGGGTTCCTAGATGTTTACTATGTTATTTATACATACATACGTAAAGTACATGTTTGTTTGTTTTTTTAAGTCTTTATTGGTTTCAGAGAGAGCAAGGGAGGGGGGATGGGTAGATAGAAACATCGATGATGAGTCATTGATTAGCTGCCTCCTGCACGCTCCCTACTGGGGATCGAGCACAAAACCCGGACATGTTTCCTGACTGGGAATCAAACCATGACCTCCTGGATCCTAGGTCAATGCTCAACCGCTGAGCCACACTGGCCGGGCAAAGTACCTGCTTCTTAAAGTTGAATGAGGTAAGAATTGAGGACTGTCCAGGGGTGTGGATGTGTCTGAGGCATTCAGTAATTGGTGTTAGCTCTGTTACACTTTTCTTTGTTGTGGTCTCTCAAAATTGTATGACTGTATATTGCATTTTGACACACATTGTTCATAGGTCACCAATAAGTATTTTGTTGTTGTTAATTGTATTCTTAATGAATTAAAGTCATAATGAGATGACTCCAAAATAGTGTATAGTTCAAAAGTCATTTAATTTTAATTTGGAATTTAAAAAAAAAAACAAAAAAACACCTTTAATGGTATATTTTCCTAATGTCGAAGTCATTTGGCATATTTTTAACAAGCCAGATGGTGAGAGGTCTTCAGGGAGAAAAATTAGTTGGGGAGATATTTGAGAGTATCATTTTTAACATAAAACAGTCCTCCGATAGACTTCCTTGAAAATAAACTTACAGTTCCCAAGACTAATACTCAGTTAACTTTGACACAGATTGGGGATATAAAGAAAAGGGGACACAGGAATTCTTCTTATAATTTGAAAACTTAAATATTACTTTTTTTAATGTTTCTAAATATTTCTGTTTTATGTATTTCATAGCTCCAAATCAAATGAAAGCCAAGGAAGGGAGAAATGTGTACAGTTCTTCACGCTATGATGATTATGACAGATATAGACGCTCTAGGAGCCGAAGTTATGAGAGAAGGAGATCAAGAAGTCGGTCCTTTGATTACAACTATAGAAGATCTTATAGTCCTAGAAAGTAAGTGTGATGTAGCACAGTGATCTGTCAAGAAAGATTTATGTTTGTTAGCTTTAAATTTTTTAACCTTTTTGTGTACTTCTAATTATATACATTGTATGCTTCATTGAGACTAAAAATATTTTAGTGTTTCATTTAAAAAGTTTTATGAATCACTTTTTTAATTAGAAACTTTAAAAGACTGTAAATAGACGTTTGTCACTGTTTGCTTTTTCTGATGTACTTTTTAGCAGTAGACCGACTGGAAGACCACGGCGTAGCCGAAGCCATTCCGACAATGATAGGTAAATAACTTTGCTTTGAAAGAGACTTATACATTTTTCAATTTCAGAGTGAACTTTTGCTCTAAAAGTAATAAATTTGATTAATATAGAATCTAATTTTTACTCTAATTGTATCTCTCCTCTGTTTTGAAAGATTCAAACACCGAAATCGATCTTTTTCAAGATCTAAATCCAATTCAAGATCACGGTCCAAGTCCCAGCCCAAGAAAGAAATGAAGGCTAAATCACGTTCTAGGTCTGCATCTCACACCAAAACTAGAGGCACCTCTAAAACAGATTCCAAAACACATTATAAGTCTGGCTCAAGATATGAAAAGGAATCAAGGAAAAAAGAACCACCTAGATCCAAATCTCAGTCAAGATCACAGTCTAGGTCTAGGTCAAAATCTAGATCAAGGTCTTGGACTAGTCCCAAGTCCAGTGGCCACTGATAGCATAAACCATGATATTTTTAGGCATGTATCATTCATTTACTCATAGTTTGGTTTACTTAAATTATCAGGAATACAATGTTGCAATGATGCTTACAAAACACTTGTCAGTTTTCCCTGTACCAGGCAATGGTTATAATTAAAATGATATGCTGTTGAGAAGCCACTCTTAAGAGTCCAGTTTGTTTAATGTTATGGGCAGCTACCAATTTGTGGTGTCTCTGTATATTTTTGTAAAGATTCTCATTTTTTATGCTTGAAGTATTGGTGAAAAGATGTTGGTTGACCATAATTTGCAACATTGTCTTATTAAAAATAAACTTTCATATCCATATTTGGTAGACCTGTTAACCTAGAAATGTAGCTTGCTAATAAGATAGAATGATACAGAAGTGAAGTTGTAGCCACAGTACACTGAGTGATCAGACACATTTAGGTTCAGGGTGGACCTTTTTGTCTTGTCAAGATGTCTAGGCCCGTGATAATAGTTAATTTATGACACAGTGTGGAATAGTTCTTTTCTTAACCCCACTGTCTTAGGGAATGAGGCTAACTGGGTTAAGTAGCATTTCCAGGGAGATTGAGTTTTTGACTGAAACATGGAGCCTTCACTGCTTTTTTTTTCTGGTTTCTATGAAGATCTGGAACATAAAAACATCAGAAAAACTCACCTTAAAATTTGAGCAGGTCAATTTGGCAGAAATAATTTTGAGGTGAAAAGTACGCTCTTATGTAATTACTCTAAGGAACATTGTTGACCATAATAGCTTAGTTTTGCTGCTGTTAAAAGCAGTTAAATTGTTTCACAGTAAGTTTGTGTGTGTGCATAGTGTAAAAGAACTGAATTTTGATGCATATAGCACTCAGTGTATGTGCTTTGTATCAAAATTTGCCTACCTCTTCATGAAGGAGGCTTGTTCGTCACACCGCAGCTTATTTAATGTGAGGCAAGTTGGAAGACAACACTCCATTCTAGGTGATTCTGTGGTGCCATGAAAAAGAATTGACTTTAAGTACAAGTCACCTTTGAGTCTTTGATTATCAATGTAGTACCTGACTAAAAATGAGAAAATAATTCCCTTAACTATTTATAATTTCTAGCATTTCTCTGAGAGATCGTTTTAGGGACAATAAATGTTACTTGATGTGTCCAGTCTCATTTCAGAATAAAAGCTAGCATCTTTAAATTTTTTAGGTTGCTTGCTTGCAGGTTATAAGTAAGAAATATTGTGGGAAAACGACTCCTTTTAGAGGATTGCTTTTTTTCAATTTTGCTTTTAGTAATCTAGGCCTTGCCTGTAAAGAACAAAAGGTGGTTTTTAAATACTGTTTGTGGAATGTGTTTAAAGGGTTGATTCTAGAACCTTTGTATATTTGATAGTATTTCTAACTCATTTCTTTATTGTTTTGCAGTTAATGTTCATGTTCTGCTATGCAATCATTTATATGCACGTTTCTTTAATTTTTTAGATTTTCCTGGATGTATAGTTTAAACAACAAAAAGTCTATTTAAAACTGTAGCAGTAGTTTGCAGTTCTAGCAAAGAGGAAAGTTGTGGGGTTAAACTGTATTTTCTTTCTTATAGAAGCTTCTAAAAAGGTATTTTTATATGTTCTTTTTAACTAATATTGTGTACAACCTTTAAAACATCAATGTTTGGATCAAAATAAGACCCAGCTTATTTTCTGCTTGCTGTAAATTAAGCAAAACATGCTATAATAAAAACAAAATGAAGGAAATAATGATTAACTGGAATTATTATAGTTTTTAATGAGATTCTAAAATAACAATGGAAATAATCCTTTGTAGATTTAGGAATAGTTTTAATCAGTGTTGCACTAGGCACAACTAACTTTTACTTAGGAAGTTTTAGAACTTGCCAGTAAGGTACATCTTTTACATGGTACTTAAAAAGTCCTTATGTAATGTCAAAGCCCCTTGGGTTAAATAACTTAGAGGTTACAGGTAGTGTTAAGATATGCATTAAAATGAAATTTGGGTCCGCTAATTATATTTTCATTATTGGATAGACCGAGAATTCTGCTCTTCTCCATCCTAGACAAGATATATTAGGCCGTATGTTTATGGCGTGATTTAAAATACTTTTGCATTGAATTTGGTGAGCAGTTAATAAGTGATAACTACTTTGGGGAACTGGTTTAGGTGTTTTGTGGTTTGAATTCTAGCTACTATATAATGACAGCAATTACAGCTGATAGTTATTGAGTATTTATGATGTGCCAGACACTATTCTAAAAGCTTTATGTATTAGCTCATTTACTCTTCTCAAAACCCTATTAGAAAGATATCACAGATAAGGAAACAGAGGCACAAAGAAAAGGCTATAAAGGGCAGATCCAGGATTTGAGCCCAGGCCTGGTCCTTTTGTGATTTTTTTTTTTTTAATGGACTGTAGATTGAGGAGATTATTCTCAGCCTCTATAGAATTAAAAGGCCTTCTATTCTTTTTATTTTTTAACTTGTGTCACTTATGTTTAGACTTGACTATGTTATTTCTAAAGTAACATGCCTAACAGCTTGAAGAAGACTATATTATAGTTGGACCCGTGATAGTTAGGATCCTACTGATGCCAGTGAGGTTCCTTACCGTGCTTTAATTTTGGGTCACATACTTGTGTCCCACGATTACTCAGTATCTACTGTGTGTCTGGCACTGTTCTTATAGAACAGACCGTCAAGACTCAAGTGAGGGCTGACACTTCACCTCTCTTTTTACATTTTGTTTTAAGCCAAGTAAGCGAGAAGAAAAATGACAGATAATGCTTCAGTGAGAAAGGAAGGTGTGCTACATAGGGTATGAGCTGTTAAGTTATAACCCTGGGGACTGTTGTGCTGTTCTCTTGAAAATCTGGCCCAGTAAGCTGCTACATCCAGTTCAGCTAACAAAACCCTGTATGCCACAGAGAAGAATACAGAAAACCAAACTGACAAACATCCTTCTTTTATTTAAGACCAAACTGCAGCTGGAATACCCAGTACAGTTCTGCTTACTACACTTCAAGAAAGATCTGAGAAAGCGGAAAAGAACCAAAGGAGGGCAGTCCAAGCGACCAAAGGGTGGGTGGAAGGTGCGGCAGTGTGGATACTGTGTGGATATTTTGACTCTGGTCTGAAAAGATAAAAGAATGCTATTGAAACTACATGGAATAATTGAAGTCCCTTCAAGTTTGAAAGTAAGCGTTTTAGGACAAATAAAAGGAAATTCAGCTTTGTACTTGTGGAAACTAATCCCTAAATCTGAATAGGTTTATATTGATTCATGGATAACAGATCCATAATAAATTACTGGAAACTAGGATGTCTGAGTATCAAGGAAGACAGCCATAGTCTCTTACAGTGCCTCTATTGGTCTGTCTGAAACTGAACTGGGGGCGAAAAGGCATGGTCCAATATAAACTTCTTGGTTATCTCTTAAAGTCAGTTACATTTTGCTATTGGCAAACATTGCCTTTGTTTATTCCAGTGCCAGTGTTTCACTGCTTCATGGTTTGCCTTGTTGGCATCCGAGTTGATTTACCTGTATGCCATGTGCAGTTTACATCTTCCTTAAACACTTACTCCCGGGTAAATTCCAGTTATAGTACTTGACATCCAGCTAAGAGGTTCCACAGCTCTTCTCACCTCTTTCCTAGTCCGTGTATTCAGCAAACATTTCCTGAGCCCTTACTGTGAGCAAAAATTGTACTGGGTAATTGGGAGGAAAAATAGATGAAAAATTCACTTATTCAATAAATGTCTACTGAGCACAACCTAGTGAATAACATTATAGTATGGCCTCATTGTTTTGAGGTGTATTGTTTGTGACAATATTTTACACCATTCATATCCTATTGTAATTATAAAACCCAATATACTATCAAAGATAAGTAATTTTGTCATTACCTGCCATTTAAAAGTATCTGGTATTTATTTCTGTTTGCATCCCATTAATACAAATAATGAAAAAATGATGTTTTAATCTGTAATAAACTGATTTATTGTGCAGTGACTGTAATATACTAGAATTATATTAAATTGTTAACTCTGCCTCCTCAAACACACATTAGGAAATAATCCCCCCAAAAGTATTTCATTTTGCATTAGATATAAAGGACACTGGGTGCTATAATTAGATTTTGAGGCAGACAGAGAGCTGTTATCCCAACTGATTTAGTATGTTCTGTAACTGAGAAAATGTTCACCAAGTTATACTTTTTAGTGGTTGACATGTACATTTTATATGGGACATGTTCTGTGTATAGTGAATAAATAACTTTTATAGTATCACAAAATGTTTTGGATTCCTTAGTTCCTTATTAGGATATGAAGTTTATTTGCCTATATATTGATTCCATCACTCATTTTTTTGTTACATTTCTGCCATATTTAAATTTAACATAGAAGTTACTCGTCTAAGAATATGGAAGTGTTTAAGCCTTTAATTTGTAAAGAGTTTGAAAATATAGCTGAATACACATAACTAAGGAAAGTATGAAATGGAGGTTATTTTTACCCTTGTTTTACTAACTTCAAACTTGGCCAAGATACACAGCAGTGGCAGATTAACTAGATAGAGGACATGCTTTTTCATTTAGCTCACCTTTGTCACTGTTTTTACACTGCACTTTTTTTCTTATCAAATGGGAAATTTTTTTATAACAATATGGAATCTAGAGTTCACTCAAAGGGAAGATCTAATAGATTTATAAGATAGGTTTAACTGCAAACACATATTTTGTAACTTTTCTGGATGAAAGGGTGAATGCAGCCCAAGTTCTAACGGTAGTTGTGACATACTCTCTCCAGGCTGGTTTTCCAAATCCCTACATTACATTTTCACCATATTCCTGTTTACAAAATCCTGAGATGTTTTGAAACGGGGAAGCTGTGACGAGACAGCAGAGTGGCAGCTCAGGAAAAATCTAATGGCTTCCTACCAGATGTATCAAAGCCTTTTGGGGTCCTGGGAACAAACTGTTCTCATTGATAAATGAAGTACAAGCAACCTATGTCTTCAACTATTAACATCTACAATACAGACCTGGCTGCTGTGGGAAGCTTCTCTCGGGGTTTTATCCCTGCCCTCCCTGACATTGTTGATGTCTAGTGTTTTATGTTTATGTATTTCTAACCTTTGTCTCACCCTCATATTAAAGATGGGATTTTAATTCATTTCACTAATTGACAGAGTTGTTTGTTAAGTAAAAGGCCTTTGTGCCTATTTTCTTTGTAGATCCCATCTCTCTGGATGCTGAAGAGAAATAAAAATAAAGCTCGTCTAGGAGCCAAAAAATCTTGGGAATTCTTTTAAGGTTTAGCTCTACAGATTTGTGACTGGATAGGCTTTCATTTATGTAAGGTTTTAAGAGAGATACTGTCCCTCTTGTTTTACAAAGTCATTGCCTATGAGAAAGCAATTAAACAAGAAAACGTACTTCAAACCCTTTCCACCTTGTGCTTGCTTTTGGAAAGAACTTACCAGAACTTAGGGGTAAGGATAGGTTATGGACTCAGATTCTGTGATACTGTACACTGTCATCAAAAGATACAACAAATTTAAAATTTTAACACTTGATAGCTTTAAGGCTAACACTACGGCTGACTTGAGCCCTACAGGATAGGTTCCTACAAGTACATTTCGGTTCCCGCAAGTACAATGATTTGGGAAATTCCTGTCACCTGTAGGCTAACCACAACTTTATTACCTTTCTAAGGTATGAGATGTTGATATAAGTCACCTTTTACTTAGGTACCTTTAGCTGTTAAATTTTTTAAAGGTAAAAGCTTTTCTACTCCCACTCTCAATCCTCTGAACTGTCATTTCAGCCGTACACTATTTTGTGTGTGTGTGAGAGCGCTTTGTGTGGTCGTCAGCACAACTTTTTATCTTTAGAGGGGGAGAGAGAAACATCAATGAGAAAAACATTGATAGGCTGCCTCCTGCATGTCCCCAACTGGGGATCAAACCCACAGCCTGGGCATGTGCCCTGACCAGGAATTGAACTGTGGCACCCTCGTTCATGGGCCAAGGCTCAACCACGAGCCACACCAGCCAGGACTATACTTTTTGTTATGAAAGGGAGAAACATCAATGAGCTGCCTCCCCCAACTGGGGATCTAGCCTACAACCTAAGCAGGTGCCCCGACCTGGAATCCAGGCTACCTCTCAGTGCACGGGTTGACACCCAACCAACGGAGCCACACCTGCCAGGGCAGGGCTACTCTCTTTCATTGAAATTACTGGGGTGACAAAATTATGCAGGTTTCAGGTATAAAATCATCTGTATATTGTTTTTACAACCCCATACAACTAAACGTATAAAGACCAAAAACTAAGGGTTGAGAATTGCTCAATGTATTGAAGTTCTAGCACACTATAGGAAAAATCTTGGCAATCCTTTGGTTCATAGAGGTGACCCTGGGGATATAATGGGAAATGGAGACTCAAATGTTAATTTCCTCCAAATCAGGTATTTCCAGTCAAAAAATGGCCTTGCCCTGCTAGTGTAGAACTTAAAAGTTAACAAATACTTAAGAGTTTTAATTTGAGGAATTTTGTGCTAATTTTCTATAAACCCAAGTCATTTTAGAATGTGGAAAAGGAGGAGATGTGATTAAGCCTGCTTTACTCAGATTGATAGCAAATGAATTCAGAAGCTTTATTCTGCAGTCTTTTGCTGTTAAGTCTTGACAGGAGGGCAGTGTCACAAGTAGCTGATTTCTTGTGTAGCTGTTGCCTCTTTAAGTCTGATTGTAATTCAGTTGGTTAATTACGTGCGCTCTAAGAGTAAGTAGTAGGCAGTCATGGCAATATTTTATAAAATAGAAAACAAGACACTGGGAAGAAAAAGCAGTTTTATTTTTAATTTCATGCTTCAGAATTCGTATATGCACGTTAAGTAATTATTTGAGTTGGGCAATATTAGCTCACCTTAACTGGAGAAATAAATGGCCATTCTGCCTAAAAATATCAAAAAAACTGCCAAATTAGAGACTAGGGCACTTAAAACCAAATTTTTAATTGATCCCCACATTTTAAATTTAATATTGGTTTAACATTATACTTAGCATTTATTTTTAAAGTAGGTAAAACATGTTATCAAGGTATTATGCAAGAAATCACATCTTTTGCATACATGGTCCCCTGGTTGCACTTACTGGTGACAAAAACAACACTGGCATGATTAAATATACTCGTATCATAGGTTACAAACATTGTTCAAAGCCAATATGAATTTTTAAAGTTGGACGGACCCTTTAACAGTTAATCTTTGGGCTTAAGGAATAAAAATTAAAATAGTCCCATACTGCATTTCACAAGTGTTTTAGCAGCTTTAAAATCTTTTCAGTTATAGTTATATAAAACTTATTACACTATGATTTTGAAATATAGTTTACAACCAGATCAATTATACATACACTGGCACTTTAGCACAAGGGCAAACTTTAAAAACAAATCATTTCAGACCTTTAAAATGAGGCCACTGTGTAAAAAAAGAGTCCATGGTCTTACATTCAGTGAATTCATACTAAAATACTCTCTTTTTGTAAGATGAATGCCAAAACTTTACATATGCTACAAATTTATTACAAATATTTACATGGCTCTTTCTTTCCTAGGTACTCAAAACTTTCACATTATATAGCTCCCTACTTGAAGCAAGCTTGCAGGGATGATTTGAGGCCAGATCACTGTCAATAGCTTGTACAGTGCTACAATACAAAATGTATTTTGAAAGCTATTCTGTGACCACCAAATACTGTTTTTTCTATAAAAAAATGGTTTTGGCACATCTGTTACAGTTCACCTATCTACTGCATATAAGAAATGGGGCCTCGAGGACACTGTCTCATTCTAAATAGCTCCTAGTGCCCCTTCCACATTCACCACTGTTTAGTTTACTAAACTATGACTATCCTGTAAGGAAAATTCACATTTTCTTTTGGCAGTGCATCATACTGTTGGCATTACTGGTTTAGGTGTTTCTAGGGCATTAAACTAGTTCTCAATCCCTGTCTTGACTAGATGGTTATAACCAGATTCACTAGCTTTCAACAAGTAAATCTTCTGACTTCTGAGTGATAATCTTAAATCAGTATTTTACCCCAAAAAGCAATAGGAAAAGTTGATTCCTTTGCCAGTCCCCAAATCTAAACTTGAATGGTTTCACGTAAGTTACTCAATTGAGAACACTTGTTATCAAATACAATGATCAGTAATTTAGTTATTTTAAGTGGCACTGATACTACCACTACATCACAGTGCACGGCAACACGAAACAAGATGAAGTCTGTATTTTCTACATTAATTAGCAGTTTTACAGAGATTAAATACCTAGCATTGAATTTGGTAGGAAACAATCGACAACTACCCTTAAATATTACTCAATTTAAACATTAGTACTTGCTCTTATTTTATACCTGTACTTTAAGTAAGGTTTTAAGTTGAAATGTCATTATTTCCTTATCAGAAGGATTAAAGGAAACAGGAACCCAGTGGCTTGGTGGTTTAGGAAGAACACTTGGTGATGGTGGCTCACTAAATTTGGCTCCTGCATAGTTCTGATTAGTCTGAGACTTAAAAAGCAAGCTGGGACTTGATAAGCTCGAGTTCCAATTCTGATTATTTGTAAAGTTTTTGTTCTTCCCCCCATTTTGCATGGCCTGCCAGGCAGCTGCTGACGTGTTATAAGTATGTCCCCTTTCTTTTTTCTTATGAACAATCTTCATCTGGGAATTTTGCTCCTTGGTCTTCTGTCTATTAAGCTGTTGTGGGTTCTTACTAACACTTCTAGACTGAGGGGCTGGGATGTTATACCTCTCTCCACCACCCATCTTCAGCTTCTTTGTCACCTGTGAATGGAAACAAAATTCTGAGTAAAATTCCATTAAGAAAAATTCAAAACCTTAAGAAGCTTCTATAGCCCCAACTTAACTCCAGAAATTGTGGGGAAGACAAAAATGTGCTATTCAGCCCTGGCAGGGTAAGCTCAGTGGGTTAGAGCTGCGTCTGGATACACCAAAGCTGCAGGTTCCACCCTGGTAAGGGCACATACAAGCAGCAGTGTGAATGAATGGAACAAATATGTTTCTCTCTCTCTCCCTCTCTCAAAATCAACAAAGTTTTTAAAAACATGTGCTATTCAGTTGCTTTAACTTTATGTTCACACTTCATTATATGCAGTTTTTACTACCTTCCTAAGAAAAATGACCTTACCCACAAATCTGAAAAACCCTCTTTAAAAATTAAAACAACTGGTTTAGGATGAGTCCACCATAAAATGTTTTCCCCATTACAACGTGAATTTTTTTTATACCTTTCAGTCTGCTTTTCAGATTGCAGGATTTCCACTACCTGTCCTATTCCTTGCTGCCAAGCCCAGGATAATAGATGTTGCTTTCTGACAGATCCTTTCCTTTGTCTCAATACAGAAGTTTTCATGGGCCAATCTGCTGAGTTCAGCCTAGGAGCTGAGGCCAACATCTGAGTCCTCCTCAGCACTCAAGTTTGAGAGAAGTCCTAGCTAGAAAAGAAAAAATTACTTTATTAGTTCAAATCAAAACCACAGGAGGAAAAGTGATCGATTATATTTACTTCAGAAATAGTTACCTAAAGAAGTGACTACTTCCTGAAATAAAAGGTAGAAAATCTGAAGATGGTTTTCTTTACCTTATAACTGTCCTCATTTAAGAACCTTGACACTCAGGAACTCCTTCCTGAGGAATTTCGGGACCAGGCGGGGCCCTGCAAGTCCCCCAGCAAGTTGTTTGTATCTTTTTCCTGGGAACTTTTCAGATTCTCACACGGTTTGGGTGACCACAATGTTAAGTCAAACTAAAGGAAGCATTAGCCTTTACTGCCATAACAAGAAATCAGTTTAAAATTCGTTTTCCTAAAAAGACCGTGTTTTTAAAGTTCCAAGAGAATTTTTCGTCTTTCGACACATCTGTTTTCCAAACATGTCTACATCAGGCAGTGTTTCCTGTGGTTATGAACACACACAACTCCTCCCCGTTTTAAAACAAGTTCTCGCACGCCAAGCCAGCTTCCATCTTAAACATGTTAAAGTGCCTCCCGACAGTGACTATTAAACACTCAAGACTTCGTTTTCACTTGACGTTCCCAAGAAACCAAGTTCCCAATAAGCCCTGTTCTTTCCGACAGGGTACCCGGGCCTTCCAGACTATTTTAACAGCCCTGAATAAATGACGAGTTCCCGGCCTCCGAGTCATTCACAGCGCGAGCCCGGAAGCTCGCTTCTTCCGATGGGGATCCATCCGTCCCGAGCCCGGGAACCTGGTCCTCCCGGCCGCCCGCGCCCCGCGGGGTTCCCGGATCTCGCCTCCTTCCCCCCAACAATGGAGAGCGCGGCCGCCAACATGGCCGCGCCCGCGGGGCCGCCGCGACTCACCGACTTCAAGCTCGGGACTGCGGCGGCGGCTCCTGCTTGGCAACGAAGCCCCCTCCCCTTCCAGGGAGAGACGAGGCACGGAACAAACAAAGCCCACGAGCACCGACGAGCCAGCTGCTGACCACCTCGGCGCCCCGACTTCCTCCTTCTGCCTCTACCGACAAAATGGAGGCAGCGGTGAGCGCAGGAGCGGGGCCGGGAGACACGACGGCCAATCAAAACGCGCCGTCGAGGGGCCCGGCCAATGATAAGAGGGCCACCGCCTGTTGCTGGGCGGCTGGGGCGACGGATGGAGGTGTTGGTTGCCGAGGGTTTGAAATCCTCCCGGAGAGGAGCATGTCGGGAGCAGCTGCTGCGGGCCGCCGGCCGACTCTAGACTCTTTCGAGGCGCCCGCCCAGCTGTTCCCGGCACGTCCGGCCGCGGTGGCCTCCGCCCTGGGTCCTGGGGACTCTCACGGATCGCGACGCCAGCGCCCCGCCCGAGGTAGCCCGCTTTCCCGGCGCGCGCTCGGCGCCCGGAAAAGGCCATCAGCCGCCCGGCGGGGCAGCAGCTCCAGCCCGGCTCTCCGGCTGCGGCCCGCGGCCCTGAGGACCCGGGTGTTTTCCTTCGGGGGGGAGTGACCGAAGGGGCCATTTGGCTCCTAAGCTCAGGTGACCGAGCCGTGCGGACAGTGTTTTCCGGATGGAAGAGCCTCAGCCAGGTTGCCTTCCGCGCCGGGCCCTGCCCCTCTGCTCCGCACCCTCCCGTCACCCTGTCCCGGGCAGCTGGCGGCTCCCTGTCCCCCCACCGCCGCCTCGAGACCCTTTAGAAGCAGCCTCCCCGGGAAGGCGTTTCCCACACGCGCGCGGGCCAGGCCCGTCCCTCCGCCTGGGTCCCCACTGGCCCCCGACTTCAGTTAGAGCCCGTAAGGCCTACGCGGGGT